ATGTCCTTGCTATGTTTCTGGGCCTTGAATGTGGTAGTACCCTTGCTGTCTATGCAAGGTCAGAAAGCAAAAATATCTTCATTTGTGTTCCGAAGATGAACGGAGATCTTACAGGTTTGGAACGACATGAGGGTGAGTAATTAATGACAGAATGTTCATTTCTGGGTGAACTAACCCTTTAACTCATAAAAATGTCAAATTAAAATAATTTTAAAAACAATTAAAATAAAACAAATAATTCAGTCATTAAGATTGACATAATGAAAATAAAACTTACTAATAATACTAATCATTAAAATAAATAAATAATTTAAAAAATAAACCAATCAAAAACAATAAAAAATGTAATCACTATAATCAAAACAAATAATTTTAACATAAAAACAATCAAAATAAAACTAATAATTAAAAATCTATTCATTTTAAGCTAAACATACAATTAAACTAATAATTAAATCATGAAAATTAAACAAGATAAAGATAAAGACAATGAAAATAAAACACTTACTAAAAAGCATTCAATATTTTATTTGTTTACGTGCAGGTCATGTGACCATTAACCACATCACAGAACTGTGAACATGTGAATGTTTTGTTAAATTATCCTAATATATTATAATATATGAATCTCAAGGAGACTTCAAGTAAATATTATAGCCCAAAGGGGCTCACTGAAAAAAGTGAATCCCTACTGTAAATACAACTACTTAAGCCTGGAATACACTCCACGATTTTGGCCCAGATTTTCCACTGATTTACAGTCTGGAAAAGTTGACACTAGTTGACAAAAGTCAGAGCCAGCCTGCAGATTTGAGCGGACATATCTAATAGAAAATCACATAGTGCATGATGGTCACAGACTCTGATTTTTTAGCTTCAGACTTAGTGTGTGATGCCCAGTTTAGTCACTATTTACCAGATCTGTAAGTGTATGATGCCTAGTGTTTTAAAAAACTGTTCAGATTCTTAAAGTCGTGCAGTGCATTCCAGCCTTTAGATGTAAATGAGAGTCGTGTCAGAGGAGGTCAGACAGTCTTACGGCGGCTGGACGTCAGTGTTTGACTCAGAGCAGGATGAGCGTCCAGCAGTTTACCCAGAAACGTCAAGGAGGACAGAGACGCTTTCTCCCCATCAGTCCACTGAGAGACACACAATCACACACCGTCACTCTTAACAATCACGATAACACTGGCTCTAGTGTCTGAACGAGTGTGTGAGTGAGAGTGAGAGAGTGAGTGAGTGAGTGAGTGAGTGAGTGAGTGAGTGAGTGAGTGAGTGAGTGAGTGAGTGAGTGTGTGAGTGTGTGTGTGAGTGAGTGAGTGAGTGTGTAAGTGAGTGAGTGTGTGTGTGTGTTCACACCCTTGAGTGGATCTGATCCAGGATGAAGAGCAGAAACGCTTGATTCGGGATGTCCAGTGTCACCTGCAAAAGAACTGAACACAAACACACAATGATACAGTTTACAACTACAGCACTTTTCAATTTGTTACACGACAGAAAACGCCAAAGATCAGAGATGAGCGAGTGATTGATCACCTTGAACGGTCTGATCCAGCAGAGACGAATCCACAGCACTGAACAGCGTTTCTAAAACACACAATCAGCAACCTCATGAAACAGCACAGAGCTGAACAAAACTGATAAAAAAAACATATGTATATATATATATATGTGTGTATATAATATACACATATGTGTGTGTGTGTGTGTGTGAGAATGTATATGTGAGTGTGTGAGTGTGTGTGTGTGAGTGTGTGAGTGTGTGTGAGTGTGAGAGAGTGTGAGTGTGTATAGTGAGTGTGTATAGTGTGTGTGTGTGTGAGTGAGAGTGAGTGTGTGTGTAGTGTGTGCGTGTGTGTGAGAGTGTATAGTGTGTGTGTGTGTGTGAGTGAGAGTGTGTGAAAGAGTGAGTGTGTGTGTGTGAGAGAGTGAGTGTGTGTGAGTGAGAGTGTATAGTGTGTGTGAGTGTGTATAGTGTGTGTGTGAGTGAGAGTGTGTGAGAGAGTGAGTGGGTGTGCGTGTGTGTGCGTGTGTGTGCGAGTGTATAGTGTGTGTGTGTGAGTGAGTGTGTGTGTATATGTGAGTGTGTGTGTGAGAGTGTATATGTGAGTGTGTGAGTGTGTGTGTGTGTGTGAGTGTATGTGTGTGTGAGTGTGTGAGTGTATATGTGAGTGTGTGTGTGTGTGTGTGTGTGTGTGTGAGAGAGAGAGTGAGAGTGTGTGTGAGAGAGGGAGAG